GGGAATTTAAAAGTTAATTGGCTGTAAATTAAAATCCTCGTTTTGTGTTTATTACAAACAATGGGCCCCAAAGGCAGTTTGTGTGAAGAGCTCAAGCGGTGGCTAATGCAAACAAAGTTTGTAACTTCACCGCCCTTTTATTTTTAATGTTATTTGCATGTCATTATATCTTATTTTATAAGAATATCTTATTTCTTTCTGTAATGGACGTTTTAGCTGAGTTCGACTTACCAAGAACTGGGCATCACAGACACTCGTGGCTATTTCCCATGCATTCTCTATACTCCTCTTCAGAAAGGCGAGGGTTTCTAGAGTTTCGCAAACTGATGGGTACGGGTCCACAATCTGGCTATATAGCCGTCTTGCCTTTTTCCCTGAGGGTGTAGTATCTGGCTTAGACCGGTCTGGTTGCACCCAGATGCCTCATTTTCTCCAGGCACATAATCATTTCTATCTCTGCTGAATTCCGTTGCTTGTTCCCAAATGGTCTCATGTATCAATTCACCACTAGTTGTCGTACAGATCCAGCCAAATCTGCAGCTGTTCATTACCACCCACGCCGGCACTGTCCAGAGAAAAGATCCAAGGTATTTCACTACCCTTGACGTTTAAGTGAAGCTTGCCCCTCTGCTCAAAGCATCCCTGTCTTCATGATCTTTACTGCATGCTTTCAGAGTCTGTAAATCCTTTTCAATTGGTTTCAAGCAGTACGAAAAGATGTTTATGTCTGCAAACCTGACACTAACATTGTTGTTATTTAAATGTCACAAACGTTATGTCATTATGTTTCTATAAAGGTTGGAGATTAGTGAGGACAGTAGAGAAATGGGTCTATAATTGTCAAGAGAACTGTTGTCAGCTGAGGCCAATTATAGCAGTGTGCAAACTTTTTAGCAGCAATTTTAAATGCTGATGAAAAACTTGTTTTTAAACAAGACCAAAGACTATACATGATAAACAAGAACATATATAATGACCGGTGCAGCACATCAAAGCAACTCGTTTACTTATTCCATTTAAAGTTCAGAGGGATTTGCATTGAGGCTGAACATACATTATATACAGTTCAGCAATAGAGAACAAAAAAGGGATATCTAAGTGAGGGATATTCGTAGTGTATGTTTCTTCACAGATGATGCTTGCAGGCTTGGTCACCTCTGTGAGTCTGTCCCTAATGAGGATGTTAAATTCTTGATTTCTGATTTGGAAGAGGAACGGAACTCTTCGCATATTAGAGAATTAGGTATTAGCTGATCTGAAGAATGTTTCTTGATTGCTGGCGGGTTAATGGCCTTCCATGTGTCGGCACTGTTTGTTTTATCTTTATTCAATTTATTAAAGAGATCTTTCTTCTTTTTACAAACTAAAAATTGTACTTTATTTCCTAATTTGCGATAGGCAGTAGCGTATTTTTTTTTTCGTTCTCTCATAATTTCTAGAACTTCACTAAATATCTTGGTGATTTAGACTGGGTTTGCACTCTGACTTTTATAACTGGTACATGTTTAACGACAACAACTGACTGATTGTACTTACACTTATATCTCTTCTGCACTGCGACCACAAATCTGACTTTATCTACTATTACTATTACATTTCAGGAGTCGCCGTGGCCGAGCGGGTACCTTGAGTGGGTACCGGGTGCAGTCCCGAGAAAGTGAAGTCGGCCGGCGTGATACTGACCACATCCCCCATCTTGTGCCGATTGGTCTATAAAAATATAGGTCTAGCCCTATATGCCCTATACGCCTTAAGGGGTGAAAAAGGGTCCTTTACTTTTTTTTACTTACTATTACATCTACTGCATTGCTACCACAACTGACTGTCTCTACTATTAATCTTGTATCTACTGTTACCACAACAACTGGCTGCCTTTACTATTACAATTATAACTACTGTACTGCTATTTCTACAGCTCACATGCATTATTACTACTGATACTACTACTACTACTACTACTACTACTACTACTACTACTACTACTACTACTACTACTACTACTACTACTACTACTACTTTACTACTACTACTACTACTACTACTATTACTACTTTACTACTACTACTACTACTACTACTACTACTACTACTACTACTACTACTACTACTACTATTACTACTACTACTACTACTACTACTACTACTACTACTACTACTACTACTACTACTACTACTACTACTACTACTAATACTACTACTTCTACTACTACTAATACTACTACTTCTTCTTCTTTTTCTATTACTACTACTATTACTACTACTACTAATATAATAACAACAACAACAACAACTACTATAACAACAACAACTACTACTACTATTTCTACTAGTACTACCACTAATACTACTGATGCTGCTGCTGTTTACAATTTATAAGGTAACAAGTGATTCTCAATTCCTACATTACTAACCCACCGATTAAAATTACTTCATAACAATCATTGTTTTTTTTCAATTAAATAAAAAAATCGACCACTTATTGATGCCCCTATGCCTCACCTTGTAAACTGGGGACGGTGCCATAGCATACCCCAATGAAAGAGAGAAAGATTATCTGGGGCCACATGTTGATATTAGCAGGCTCTGAGTGATTCTGTGATGGACGTTTAGTTGTTTTTAAAGTAATAGTTTCAGGGCTGTCAACTTGTTTGATTTATAAGAACTGTTTCAAGTGTGCAGATACACAGCTGTTTCCATGCTCAGTGATGTATTTGTAGTGTTACCCTTTTATAAGGATGTCAATGTTTCTTAAATTGTGTTGAGCTGAACGTAAAATTCGTCATTTCAAGAATGTACAATCTACAATACAGAAACAGTTAATAACATTATAGTTAAGAACCTTATTGACTGGCCTCTATATTCATGCCGTTCAATAATTTAGCGATATCGAATCGCATGTAACAGTTTTTTGCTCTGCTTCCCTAACAATCATGTTGTAAGCAAAAGTAAAAGGGCAAATAGGGCTAGACCTATATTTGATATTTAAATAATGCGGACACAAACAATACATTTCACAATTTACTGCCATGCATATTTCGTCGTATCTCGTCGGGTGCGTTACTAAAGAATTACAATAACATAAAATGAAGCACAAAACTGAATAAATCCAACTGAAAATTGAATAGTTTTTTTTTTCCCCTGAAACATCGTGTATTTTTTGGGAGGCCAGAATCTCACTGTAGTCACGTGACATACCAGGGTAACTTCAAATTTAAAATAAATTCCGTCTGCTTACAAAGACGTTGATTTTTATTGTTAAAGTCTTATCTATTGTCAACAGTCTGACTGACTAACTGACTTGCTACCCCACCAGGACATCACACATGCGATAAACACCCGATGACACAATGTGGCACCATGTGGATGAGGATCACAGTGGAGAGGTCACAGAAATCGCATTCAGACAAATGGCCATATTTATGGCCTGCCTATATTGCGGCCCCTGGCAAAAGCCAGGCTGGGCTTCAAATAACGAACAATGTCGTCCTAAAAAGGACGAAAGAACTGGTATAATCTCAACAGTCTCCTGTTCAGAGTGTTATAAACCCTCACGGAAAGCACTGTATGTATCAATTACGTGTCCGAAATTCTTGTTCTAACCTCCGCTGAAATGGATTTAAGGCATAAGATGCTACTCTTGAATACAAGAGGTCTCCAAAAAAATCTCCCGCTACTTGTTTTACTTCACAGTTGGATATCTCTCATTAGTAAGACGTCTCTGTGTAAATCGTATCCTACAGTAGATGCAGAAAAGAGGCTCTTTACTTCCCCTTCCTGTGGAACACCATAGAGACAGAGGTGGGATACTACCCTATCCTCACCCAGCCCCCAAACAATGATTTATAACGAGCGGTGGATGAATTAATAAATAAATTATAAAAAATAAAAAAAACAACTGACATCTCTGCACTTGGGATATTTCGATACTGTGACGAGCTGGTCTGGACAGCTGTTTCTGTCCTCTTAAAAAGTGCTTTGTTTAGATAATATTATTACTAAAGTTCTAAACATTTTCCTATTGCTTTTAATTAGCATAATAACACTGGACTAATTAAGAAATTTCTTACCCCTTTCCTAATGCTTCATTGTAGCTAAATTATAATTAAAGAGTTGAAAGGTAATAAAGGCGAAGAGTAGTGCAAGGGGTAACAAAGAGTAACTTCCCCCTTGGTAGGACTTCCCATCTTCCATTCTTTCATTCCAGGCTCGGTTGGGGGAGTCAAGATTTTGTTCTCCCCAAATTGACACAGTTCAGTTAGTTCTGTTGTCTTGTTGCCTGAGTTTGAATTCCCTGCCAGGGGTTGAGTTAAAAGAATAAGTTTAATTTGATGTATTGCTGCTTATTCCTCTGAATTAATTCCACAGGTTAAAATTCTGAAATTAATGCCCACATGGCTCAAAAACTATGATAAATTTCTTATCCTCACTAACCACGTTTATGATCTAGTATGTACATGTATGCAAACATATTATCTATTTGATGATTGAATTAATGTTTATTTGCTACTAGAAACGTGCATGGTATTTTTAATTATTATACTTATATGAATTAAGTGATAATTATGTCCTCATGTGAAATCTCGGCCAGTTCCGGTTTCCAGCATGGTGGGACAATTAAAAAGGAATGAATTGTATATTCATTATACCTAATCCCTTCTAAGTTGATTTTTACCTTATGGTGATATTAGCTTAATAAATCACTGTCTTGCTTTAATTAGATTTAGTCCAGATAAGTATTTTGACATCTATCCCAGCACCCAGTATATTGATGGAGATATGTCAATCCCATTTATTTTCAAACAGTGCAAAGCACCTGTTATGAGTTTCTGGCCTTGGTAAACACTCCCTACTTCTCATTCATTGTGATGTGAACCCATGTGGTTAAAATGAGAATATTGTGAAATATGACTGTATGTCTGTGTGTGTAAGCATGTTAACCCTTCAAAGGAGTACTAGTGTGCAGACATCAGAACAATTTACACTGAGGAATGTCCTTTCTTTTTGTGTGCTGTAAACTCTTGTTCTTGAGAGTATTCATGAAACTGGTTTCCTAAATATTTCCCCATCAGGATTATGGACCATGTTCTGTACACATTCCCATTCTACACCAGTAGAATGTGAACACCTGTTACTATCCTACTCCATATATATGTGTGTAGTGTAACAGTTTAAAGACTGGAGGTATTGTTGTCTCCAGTTAGAACCTTCCTGACTGTTGGTATAAGGACTGTTCTATTGTTCTAGTTCCAGATTGTATTCCAGATGGTACTTACAGGTGGGAGCTCCAGATGTAAATCCTAAGCTTAGCTGCAGATACCCGATTGTCTGGACTGGACTGGAAGATTCGGCCTGCCTGAGGTGTCACCAAAGCTTAGTCAGAAGCTGACCTAAGCTACAGCTAAGATTTAACTAACCTACCTTAAATAACAGGATTTTATATCCACAGCCATTTAGTTATCATTTGAATTTATATTGAATTGAAAATCCTAATAAATGTAGTTTTAATGTTCTTACAGTTTTCTGAAGTTTCATTTTAACTGTAAGTGTGTCAGTGAACCAAAGCTAGTATAACTTTAATACATTTAAATATACCATCTTAATTACAGCAGGGAATAAGATGTGGGCAAACCCCGAATCCTCTCATTTAACCAGCAAGGCTGGGGTTACTATAAGACTTTATGATGTTTCACTGGTTGCAATTCCCTCTGTAAAGTGCACATAGTGCAGTCGCTAGTGTAAAGCGAAGTTACCCGCCACAGAGTGGGGTCTCGTCTCGGAATTTACTCACTCACAAAGTGGAGATCTTGTCTCGGGGTTTGTAACCTCACACACAAAGTGAGATATTGTTCCTGGTTTTTCCCTAGACAACAGCATATTTTTTTTTTATATTTTGTGTTCAAGTGTTTAGCCATCTTTGATTTATTTTATGGCATATACTTAAAGAACACTGGGGGCTCAGAGTCATTAGTTACTAGTTTGCCTGTTAAAGTTAGCAAAAATTAACTTAGGTAATTATGTAACTGAAATTTACAAATAATTTAAATGTTCACTGACTTTAGGAAATCAAAATGTATAATTGGCTAGGACAATTTTAATTCCCAAATTAATGGTTGCCCATAAGGTTAAGGATTTGTTAAAAGGGATTGACAATTGCATTGCTATTTTTTTGATTATGTGATTGATTATTTGATTGATGCATATGTGATTTGCTTACTAACCCTCTGGTGACCTAATTTCATGAGTCTTGTCTAGTACTCTATAATTTCAGCAGCAATCATAAGTGATAATTTGCAAACTCCTTGTAAGGGTCACTACAGCTTAACCGAGATGGCAGCATATCATTCTCTATTGGGCAAGACCATCTCAGACTTTGCTGCTCATGAGGCAGGTTTGAGTGGGGCTGAGCTAGATATATATGTCTCTGATTTGTTGAATGCCAAATCTCAACTAGAAGCTAATGTAGGTGTCCAAGGGAGGGAAGTAGATTCTATAGATTGGTTTTTTAGAAGTATAGAAATGGGTCAGGCTTGCAAATTCACAGGTATTAAACTGCTAGAGTGTGTTGCAGAGAAGGTCAAGGAAGATTGGGAGTGGCAACTGGAATGTGTCCAAATGGAACAGCATGCACTAGCTAGAGGTTTTAAAGAGGCTGTTGAACATCTCAGTAGAACCAGAAAGCCTTTGCTGGCGAGCCTTCCCGAGAGTTATGGATGTTCACAACCAAAAAGCCAGACACTTCCATGTCAGCCAAAAATGCATTTCCAAGTACAAGTATCAGTCACTGTACATCAGTAATTGAATAAAGATCCCTTACCCCACCAGAATCTGGAAATGAAAACCCTGGTAGAGAATGTGAGATCCTTGGCAGCTGTCAAGAGATCATAGCTAGTGAGCCTGCGGCTGCAGTGACCACTAGTGGGCTAGCTACCACAAAACTTGAGTTAACTCAGGGTGGTGATTTCTGTCAAGATGGTCATTCCTTGGCAGAAATGAAAAAGTGTTATTCCCAAAACCAACCCCATTTTAGATATTATTTTCCCTAGAAGCTTGCACAGCAAGGAAACTTTGAAGAAGGTAGGTGGCGAGACAGAAGACTTCAGCTCCACGCTGCAGATAGTATCTTGTAAAGCGGAGTCTGTTTATGTCCATGCTCCCACTACTTATTCTCACGCGCAGTCAGTAGAAAGTCATGTGCTAGTTAAAGACATAGATTTTTCCAGTAAATCGAGTGATATCCTAGAGTTTACTGAGAGAAGCAAAAATGCATCTCAGTCCTGCTTACAAGTTAGGGAAAAAGAGTCTCAGGCCTTAGATAAATCCTTGAGGTCTCAGGGTATGTTGTTGTGTCCCCTCAGAATCAAGGGCCAGCACAACTTTGACTACCAAGAAAATGAGTCTCATGCTTCTGATAAGCCACTGAGATCTCAGGGTATGTTGTTGTGTCTCTCAGAATCAAGGGCCAGCACAACTTTGACAACCCAGGAAATGAGTCTCAAGCTTCTGATAAGCCATTGAGGTCTCATGGTATGTTGTTGTGTCCCCTCAGAACCAAGTGCAAGCACAACT